AGATCTTACGTGTAATTTAAGAGAAAATCTAAGAGGAAATTTTTCTGATATGTATTCTCTCTTTTTTTCGTGCTTCCAGTTTGGTTTTGCTTTCTCTTGTTCTTTTGCTCCCTTGTTACAGTGACAACGTAACGGAGAAGTTTTATTAAATTTCTTAAATTTGTAGATAAACTTAGTGTAGTGGATTCTTTTGAATTTTTTTCTTTTTTGTCGTAAACTTCTGACGATAACGCCATCTATACTCTCCCCAACTCAAAACTCTCCAGTCGTGAACTCTACTGCTCCTAGCTGTAATGATACTTGCTTGACAGTAGTTCCTCCCAGAAAAGGTGTATTTGTGTTAAGGTTGGAACCTGGCATATTTGCGGGTAACATAAAAAGTTATCTGCCGGCGAAAGTCCCATCAGTCAACTTAAAGCGTTTTAGCGTTTTCAAAATGGCTCCTTCTCAATCTAGGGCAATCTCCCCTTTTAAAATACTAGTTCCGACTGAAAACAGTGATATGTTGTTAAACAAACCATTGTGACCAGTAGGATCCTTGATTAAGGAATTTATCCCTCGGGCTAAATTCAAAAATTGGCTCTAATTTTCTAAATTCAGTAAATGAGGAGTTTTTCTGTTTGTCCTTCACTGAAACTTGGCTAAAGCCTGGTCTTTATTCGTCGGAACTTTTTCACAATTCTGTTCAAGTCCTTAGAAATGATAGAGTGAATCGCATTGGTAGTGGTGTATTAATTGCCACATCTGCGTCAATCCTGTCCTATTCAACAGAATTTCCCACTTCTCCTGACGTTGAATTTATTCGTGCGATAATGCTTAATAAATAGCTATTTGTAACCTGCTCCTATATTCCCCCCAATTCTGATATCTCCATTTACAAGAAACAAACCTCATTTGTGAAGTCGCCAAGCAGTCTAAACTCACTGATTTGGTTGTTGCGCTGGGTGACTTCAACTTGTCTCAAGTCTCTTAGTGTAACAGTAAAAATTCTGGCTGTTTGATTCCTACTTCAACATCTGATAGATCCGTTGTGTTCTTTAACAAATTACTTGATCGTAATTTAGTTCAATATAATCGTACCCCTAATTGCAATGGTAGACTGCTTGATCTCTGCTTTGCCAACTTTCCTGAGATTAACGTAAATCGTTGCCCACCTTTTAGTTTACCTGAGGACTCTTATCATCCATCAATGTACATTTCCTTTCAACATATGAATGATGGTTCGTTGAACAGCCTTAATGTGTCTAATCAAACTTTTTTAAATAAATGTTATGATTTTCATAAAGTCAATATTGTATTGCTAAAACATCGTCTTTCACATATGAGGCTTGATTTCTCAACCGGAAGTATTGAAAGCTTATTGTCATCGTTCTACAATACATTAAATCTAGCTATTGCTGCATCTGCTTCGATTAGGCAGTGCCGACCTCGAAGCAGATGTCCCCCCTGGTTTAATAAGACAATTAAATATTACAAGAATAGAAAAAACACGTTATTCAAATAATATTCGAAAAGTGGCTCTGCGCTCAACTTTTTCGCTTACTCGGTGGCGAGGCATAGATTTAACTCCCTCAACTACCAATATTATTGCAAATACCTTTAGTTCATTAAATCCTCTCTGTTTGCTAATCCTAAATACTTTTTTAAATTTGTTAACTCTAAAAGAAAAATTCCCACAGATCACTCTCATGTTTCTTTTAATGGCTCTGATTCCTCGGATGATTTTGAAATCCAAAATCTGTTTGCTGAGTATTTCCGACGAAACTTTTCGATTCCTAATTTCGATTTATCAGCAAACTACCCATATCCTGTAACTAACTCTGTCTCAATTCCTAACTTGGTATTTTCGGAAGATGACGTTTTTAAAGGGGTGAGTTCTCTAAAATATTGTTGTGCGTCAGGACCTGATGAAATTCCATCATATGTACTTAAATCTTGCGCTGTCGAGTTATGCGGTGTGATTTTGAAGATTTTTAACCTGTCCTTGAATTTAGGTGTTTTCCCTTCGTGTTGGAAGAGTAGTTTCCTTATTCCTATCCACAAGAGTGGAAGTAGACAATTTATTGAGAACTACGGAGGCGTAGCCAAGTTGAGTGTCTTGTCCAAATTGCTCGAGCGAATTGTGACTCAGCATTTGGCTTTTGCCATTAATTCGTATATTTCTCCGCACCAGCACGGCTTTCGGAAAGGGCGATCTACAGTCACTAACTTGTTAGAGCTTACTTGTCATGTTTTCAAGGCTTTTTGTAGTGTCTCTCGTAAAGATGTGCACTGATTTCAGCAAAGGGTTTGATTTGGTTAACCATAACTTACTTATCTTTAATCTCCAACCCTCTGGCTGTTTTTTCTATTTAGTGAAATGGATAAGCTCTTCTCTGGTCAATAGATCCGTTCTATTTGACCATAGGTTACGTTTCTATTTGACCATAGTTTACGTTTCAACTTGCATGTTGAGCTCTCGATAAGCAAAGCTAGGTCCGCGCTTGGTTTTATAAAAAAGTGGTCCAAAGAGCTTGATGATCCCTGCATTACGAAAAGGATGTACTGGTGTTTGGTTAGACCCATACTCGAGTATGTCTCTGTTGTGTGGTCTCCTTCATATAAGGGCTATGTAGATTCAATTGAATCTGTTCAAAAGCAATTCTTGCTGTTTCCCCTTAGAAAACTGGGTTGGGATCCAATTGCCTCTCTCCCTCCGTATGAAAATAGGTTGCTTCTGCGGTCCTTACCGTCTCTTGAGAAACGTAGGTTTGTTCTTGGCGTTTCCTTTGTAATCAAAGTAATAAATGATGCTATTGACTCGCCTTTATTACTTGGTGAAAGAAGCTTTAATGTCCCTAACCGCTTGTCCAGGCACTTTATCTTGGTTAAGCTTAGTCAGTGTAAATATAATTATGAGCTGTTTAATCCACTCAGAGTAGTTTGCAAGAACCTAAATGACGTCTATCACGCATTCTCGTTATCAAATTCTTAAAAGTCCATTAAAGCAACATTGCTTAATACGCGCGATGTACCTATGTCTTACTTAAACTAGCTTTTATCCTTAAAAGCCGTTACGATTGGAAAATGAATTGTTGTTAAGTATTATCGGTTGCCAGGCTTATGCATGTTTGCGATGGCTTAGGGATTCCTTTGCAATTTGGTCCTGTAGCGGTTGTAAGTGTGGCTCTATGCTGGTTGTGTACATGCTTTTTTTCTTTTTTTTCCGTCTTATTTGTTTTATTGTACTTATATTAAGTTTTATTATTAATTTAATATAAGTTTTCCTTTAAGTGCCAATTGAACTCAACTGTTATTTGTTTAGTTGAGTTTCGTGTGTAAGTAGAATTAAAATAAATAGATAAATAAATAATACATGACTATATGTTCCTTCACCTTCACACATGGTGAACTTGCAAAATTTGTAGGAAGCCACAAAATTACAACAATACTTTACCATCCGTACTCAAATAGCAAGGAATAGCAATGAAACATTGTATAGCCGATTTGAAGCGACCATATCAGCCATAGATAATGCCAACAAACGATTCTACGAACTTCCCAAAGTACTCCTGGCCTTCGGTCAGTCCATAGAGAAGATATTTCGGCAACACCGGCGAAGATGGCCTACACACGTTCGCCAACAGAGATTTTTGGATAAGAACCTACACCCAATTGTCACGATTTTTTAAGTACCATTGAGGAACATTGCCGAAATGTGCAGTCAAGCATCCAACATCATAAGGATTCTGATTGTGGTTTATATGTACCCAAAGATTTAAAAACTTATTAGTTTGATTTCCTTCGAAAGATTGATGAACACAGATTATAACACCGGTATGAAGAACCTTAAGAGATTCTAGAAAAGCAGCGAAAGTATTTCATTCCCAAAGTAAGCAAAGAGACTGTTTCTTAAATATAACTTTACATAAATAATATATAAGTTGGAATTATTTTCGTGCATTACAAATACATATTCATTCCCTTCTTAAAATATTAAAAAGCACTAAAATTTTTATTTAGAAGAAGATGAACGTAGGTTAGAGGGTCTGAAGATCTACCTTCGCGTTCTCTCACAAAAAATCATGGGCTTTAGGAGACCGTAGTTAGGGCAGGGTGTAGCGTGGCCCGGAGCATGTAGTCAGCCCATCTACTGTACTTTTTGTTTGTAAGCGTCTGTGGGATATCTGTTGAATAAAGAGTAAGATTAAGGCTCTAAATATATTAATAATCTTTCGCCACGCGCAGTCAATGAAACTGAAGGCCGTCGAAGCGGATTCTTTAATGCGATTCAAACAATATAATGATAGGGCGAAGCCCATATAACGGGGTATTTTCCGGAGCAGGTGTAAACAACCTCATGTGTAATCTTTTTATAATGTGTGGAATATTAAATTCTCTAAAAAATCGATCTAGCACAAATCCGTCTTTATATACGAAGTGTTCACTATGCAAATTGAAATGAAGTTTATTGTCAAATAACACACCTGGTTCCAAAAACACTTCTACATTCTTTAATTTATGTCTATCAACGATTTATTTGTTGCGAATAAATCGCTTATTTAAAAACATTTGTGCCTGAAACGTTTATATTTTCTAAATTTAGTAATCGCCACGTAATCAAATTTTGCAAACCAGGTTAAAGAACGTTGGAGTTGGGAAAGAAGCCGATTGGCTGTCTTGAAGGGCAATTGACGTGACTAGAACTTTGCAGGAATGAAATTAAAAAGAAGGAATCTAAGCCATCTGTTATAGGGGTAAGGTGAGGGTACGGAGAAAGTGAGGTGACTGTAGCTTAGAAACAAATAGTCTGTCGTTACTATATTTGAAGGTCTTTCAAAAATTAACATATATGATACCCGTCTCCCACTAGGAAAAAAGCCTTAAAAATATGACTGCTTGCTAGAGAAATAGACAATTAAGTAATCTTACGTATTTCTGAAGTTGAATGTCTTAAGCAATAATAATTACTAATAATCATTTTTTATTATAATTTTGTTTATTTAACCAAGGTTAATGTACTATTTTTCCGATAATTTTTGAACGACTTGGGACAAACCAAACTTGTGAATCCTATACAATAAAAATTCAATGACAGCCATATTAACGTCTTGGCTCTGAAAGGTAAATGCGATAGTATACGGCGAACAGCACTCCTATAACGTCGAATTGCATTAAAAAAATTATTATATCTCCAATATTACTCACCTTGGAAAGTAAAGGCAACCCGTAAGTATCACCAACAGTTGCGTTAATAGTTTGCAAGCATTTTTTCAATTGATTGTTATAATCATTAAGTAGATTACATTGCTGTTTAAGTTGAAATGCTACTTCCACCAATGCCTGCAGAGTTTGTTTGCTAAGAACAAAACTACCCTTAGCCGTAACGGAACCCTAAAAAACAAACTTCTTTGCAATTTTTTTCGTTTTTCTTCGAAATAGTTCTTAATATTTAAAAATTGCTGGTGTTATCTGGAATTCAGAGAAAGCGACGGAACGAATTCAGAAAGTGAAAAGAGAAAGCCAAATACGTAGTTGCGCAGTCGGGTACCAACCACCACCTTTTAGTGGAATGTTTTCTTAAGCTGTACATTTTTAATGACTTGAATTTAATTGCCATCCATTCTTACAACTAAAAATGAAACAAACAACCTTTTTTCTCAGATACTGCCAGACTAAAAAACAGTTGATCAATAAGAATTTAAAGGCATTCAAAAAATTTTCATCAAACTGCAGTTATTTGTACGTACACTATTAAATGAATCCTAACTAAAATTTTAGGTTCCAATCAACCACTACTCTTTTCTGAAAGAAGTGTACGTCCTTCATTTATATTTGCAATAGCATCAAGTTCAATCATTTCATGATCTTGGGATTTTGTTAACGGACCCGCTTTTTTCGACTGGCTCTATCTTCTAAAAATAGTAATTGAAATGCAATCAAGTTCGTATAGTTCGTATAACATTTACAGCGTAAGTTTACTTAAATGAAAAAAAATAATCTCAGGAAGTTGTGTCAAACTGAGATGAAACTGAAAAATAATTCCATGAAGTTGTACCAAACCAAATAATCTTAGGAAGTTGTTTGGTACCAAGCCAAATGATATTATAAAATAAATTATTTTTTGTAAATATTGCCATAGGTATGCCACTGCTGACTGCTGCACACTGCTGACAAGAGCGACATGAGGTATTATATAAATAAGAAATTTGAAAAAGCTATTTTAGCGACTTATTTCTTTGCCAATAATAGCAACTACTCCACTTCCTATAGACCAGATATGGATGTCTGGGTAATTTATCTCAATTTGAAATCTTCTAATTTTCGGCGCTGTAAAAAGGAGTAATCGGAATTTCACTTCTGGGCGTTTAACCTGGAATTGGGCAAATAACTTAAGAAAGTTAATGTTTAGAGTCGCACGTTTTTCATCTATCTTTCCACTTTATGTAAGAAAACAGTTAAATCAGGGCGTTAAAAAGCTTCATCAATATAAGCTGAACAGTTAGTTTCAATTAAGAACACCTTCAAATAGGAACAAACTAACTCGTATCAGAAGTATTGGAAGTTATTTTTTACCTCATCTAAATGAACCGGTTGAATGAAAAAGTACGTAGAAGTTTGAGCATGGTAAGGATGCAGCAAAAAGCGCAGACTCTCCATAACAAAATATCTATAAAACGAGATAACGGTATCATATTCTCTTTTCTATTTATTTTTTACTTACGTATCATCGTCTGTCAGCAGAAACCACTCCGCATCATTCGCATGATGTTTATAAATGTATTTAAAAGCATCTTTAAGTTTTGAACCTTCGGCGCTTGCATTAATAGCATCATAATCTGAATGATCCGGTAAGCCTAGGAACAACAATTTTTGACAACGTTTACCCCACGTGTATTTAATGTGAACGTCTCGCTTATAGTAGTTGTCTGACATGGTATTAACTAAGCAGATAATTCGCACCTCTTTCAGTAAGTCATTGGCAATGTCCGTATTGGCATGTTTGGAAACGAAGTTCGAATCATCTCTTACTTTATAGTTAATTTCTTCCCGAAAGTACGCATTACTTTCTGTCGTCTGTACTGAAACTTGAATTACGCAAACCGGTAATATGATCGCTATACTACCAAAACACAAAATTAGAAAATATTTCCAAAAAAAGGATTTCGTAAAAGCACTTATATTTTTTAAATATCTAAACTTCATTGTGGTAGCTATTGAAGTAAATGAAAAGTCTTCATTTTCTTTTTCTTTTAAAATTCAGCATATCAATAACATATGATTTACTGTTCTGAGAAAAAAAGGTTCAATGTGAACACAAACTTCCTTATCTCGTAATAAAGTTGGCGGTATATGCATAACTTTTTTCCTTTCAGGTCCGCGACATAACTGCAATCATTTTGCAATGTTTGCCAATTATTTTCTTATTTCATTTTATTTTCCTTTACGTCCACAACATTTTTCTATTAACATATACTGGGATTTTGTTTATTTTCCAAGTTTGATATGATTTAGCGTAATGAATAATGCTATAGAGTGAGGTGTGTCAACGTGAATATTACAAGCGTGTACATGTATCTAAGTTCCTAATGTGGGATATGTTTTGTAAATAAATGAAATGCGGGAAGGAGCAGATTTACAGGTTGACCGTAAAAATTGGCATATTCCTAGGACAAGCTTAAAAAAAAAAAATGGCGGGTATACGGGGTTCCACCATCATTGCAATATTGTGCATACAGACAATCTGCGATGCGTGGTATTAGGAACAAATGCACAGATATTCGAACAAACAAATAGAGAATGGTCAGCAGATTGCAAAGCATGTGCCTGAGAATTTACTCATTACTTTAACTTTAATATTAACCTATTAATAATTGAAAAAGCCGCAGCAATGGTCATTTTTATTTTTTTATTATAGATAAAAAAGATATCAAACTGAACAGACTTTGAGACACAAGTTCTTTCCAAATTCAATTATTGAAAGATAATCATTTTTCCTAGATTTAATGAAGACTAAATACTCATTTCTGTAGTGTAGATAGTACCTCGTCCCGGACCTAATTTCGCTGAAAATTCATCGCTTATGAGAAATTTTCTTTACCTTATTGCTGTGTGCTAGAGTTATACAGGCGTTCAAAATTGCTTCAGTTATTACATAACTTACCATCCGATTAAATTAAACCGAAAAATTGCCAAGACACACACGTTTCGCTAAAAAAATATACAAAGCCATAATCTTCATTGTGTTCAAACCGCTCTTATTAATTTAGGATATTTAAAGGTATATTGCTCAAATACGTAAATCCTAACGACCCACGCGGTTCTAATGGCCCATGCGGAACTAACGTTCATCAAATTAGCGTAACTTCGTAGGGGATAATGAGATGCTCGCCTAAACTTTATACTATCCCTAGTTAGACCGTTCGCACTCCAATGCAAAGTCTCAGCTCCATGGATTAGCTTTATCCTTCAATTAATTCCTAAACGGCTCCTCACGTCTATTCTTTCCACGAATGCTTACGGATCGAACTTACGTCGATCCACCGCGACAGCTTCAATCAAGATCAGCGTTGCCCATCGATTGACTATCATATTCGAAATAAGCTTATATGTTTTGTAATGTGATAACCATTCTGCCATTAGTAATTCTTGCACTCTGGTAATTTGTTAAACGTATTTTTTTTACATTTACAAACAGTGAGAAAAATATATATAAAGAGAATAAGAGAATTTCGACATATAAGAAAAGGATAAGGTGATATAATTATATATGAGATGATACAAGATAATGTATATATATATATATATATATATATATATTGTTACGAAAATCCCAAATTCAGTTATATGTCAGCTAAGTAATTTTCGTAACAATAAATTCCCTAAAGAAGGGAAAACCAAATGAGCATTCGCAGGCGCCTCATGCAGCTGCAGGCCAATGAAAACGATTAGTGGAAAAGCAAACAGGTAAAAGCTAAGTGCATATTCGCAGGCTCGTCATGCAGGTGCAGGCCGATTCAGACGATTAGAGGAAAAACCAGGCTGGGATTAGACCATAACCATAAATTTAGGTATAGTAACATTCTTGTAAAATTGTATATAAATCGAATATTTGTGAAAAGTAGAGTTAGTCTGGCAAGAACGTAGAAGTTGAGAGTACGGCCAAAATTAATTGTAAATAAATATTTCTACTGTTGTGAAAGACAAAGTAGTAAAATAAAAGAACTTTGAAGTGCATTTCTCTTGATCAAAATATCCACGATCTAGTGATACAGACTGATCTTGTAAAAAGCGAATTTCATAACAATATATATATAGATATAAGATAATGTAAGTATATATATATATATATATATATATATATATATAACTATAGGATAATATAATGTAATATTGAACAATGATAACAAGCACTTTGGTCCTATATATGTAGAATTATGTAAATGTGTAACTATTATTAAGTTAACGATCGTCTACGAGTGAATATTAACCATTTCTTGCAGTCAGATGCTTTGCAACTGAAATGCAATTGAATGCAGATGCTTGCATTCAAGTCTAGGAAACATATCCCAATTGATACTATATCTTCGTTTATTTTCGTTGTGATTAGTTTGAATTGCTCTTGCATTGAAAGAGTAATTGGCAGCGTCATTCCATAGTTAAACATTATTGAACAACATGCATGAGGAAATTAATGAAAATGGACTGAACGCAACACAACATCGAGACCTTCTGTGACTGTACTTATCCACAGTGTAACGTTTAAAATTATTTTACCGATGTCGCTGTTCAATTGCATCTTTTTTCCAACTTGGAAGTAGAGATATTTTTCTTAAGAAATTTATTTTGCATAGAAGGCTTAATCGTCTTGTTACTTTCGGCGAACGTTCATCACAAAACCAAACTACATTTTATCGGTGGTACATTAAAATGTCCGTAGTTTAAGCCACGTCACGAAAATGTGCATGTCACGGACGGCTATTTTCCGGATTTAGACATGTTGCTTACATATCCCTACGGATTGCCCATTATTTTTCATTTCATCCCAATTATAAATATTACTACTGTTATGAAATTCTCTTTTACTAAGATATAGACCGTATCACTGGAACGCGGATATTTTGTTCAGGAGAAATACACTTCAAAGTTCTTTTATTTACAATTGCACTCCTTAACAGTAGGAGTATGTATTTACAATTATATTCCTTATATGTAGGCTTAATCACAACTTATTTTGGCTGTATTCTCAGCTCAAATGTTCTTGCCCGACTCAACTCACCCTTCCACAAATATTCTATTTATATACATTTTTACAAGCATGTTACTATACTTAAATTTATGGTTTTATTTCTAATCCCAGCCTGCTTTTCCTCTAATCGCGCCTGCGAATGTGCAATTAGCTTTTACCTGTCTGCTTTTCCGCTCCTCTTTTTCATCGGCCGCCAACTGCATGAGACGCCTGCGAATGCTCATTTGGTTTTTCCTTATTCAGGGAATTTATCATTAGGGAAATCTCTTTGCTGACATTAACTGGATTTGGGATTTTCGTAACACTACTAACAGTTGAGTGTAATGGGTGATAGATGTGTAAAGATTCTAAAGTTTGTTTAAAACTTTCGGTTCTAAAAGAACGAATTGTATGCTCAATAGGATAATGTGCGCCAATAAATGTTGATATTGACATATTTGAGGGACGCCAGACATCTCAGGAAATTCATTCGGCGTGATGAAGTTAAACAGATCCCTGACTGATTTGTTATACCGATAAGAGGTTAGTTATTTCACTAAGTAGAAAGGGAAGAGACGTGGCGTTTGAAGATCAAAAAGTTATGGTTAACTAAGTCAAATGCTTCACTAAAATCAAAAGCCATTAGGAAACATGGCAAGTAAGTTCTAAAAGATTCATAACGGTTGATCTTCTCAGAAATATAGGATTTGATAGCAAAAGCTAAATGCTGACTAAAGATTAGCTCAAACAATTTAGGTAAGACTCTCAATTTAGCGTGATGTCTGTTTCCAGATATGTGAAGCGAAATAAGGAAATCTCTCTTTCAATGCAAAGGGAAAACACCTGATTTCAAGGACTGATAAAAAATCTTTTAAATAACACCACATAGTTCTCCAGAGCATGAGTTGAGTGAACACGACGGAATGCCATCATTCCCAGGCGTACAACTACATTTTAGAGGCCTCAAACCATGTGAAACGTCGTCATTTGAATTGACCAACTTAGAAATGGAAACCGAGTTAGTTACCAGATACGGATAGTTAAAACTTAAATCGGAAACAGCAGTTGTACAATTTCGTCGGAAAAATTCGGCAAAGAATTTTAAGGTTTCAATATCACCAAAAGACTGGCAGTCGTTAAAAAAATGATGTTATTATTAAGAAAATATTATTCCACCACGTCGTTGTGTCCACCGCATTTGGTTTAGAATAAAAGCATTTTTAGATAATATAACGCCATTTGAGGAATTAACAAACAACATAATTTTAAACATTCTCTTTTGTTTGCCTTATTAAATAATAAACATAAAGCTTAAAAAAAGTTAAAATTTAGTCACTTTTAACTCAGCGTGGGCGTGAGCTATATTTCCCATTATTGAAAATAAATAGAGTATTTCGTAGAAATAAACGCGCAAAATTTCACCCTTCTATCTTTCACGCTTTATGAGTAATGAATGAAAACTCATAGAGAAATGGATTTTCTGCGGGCGTGCATAAATTTGCAAAGTTTCTAACAAATTTGACGTCGATATCTTCATTTTTGCAACCAGCAGCACACACACAACAACAAACACTTTATAGGCGGACAGAAATGACTTAATCGATTCAGAATTTCGCGCTGATCGTGAATATATATTTTTTAAAGGGTCTGTTAAGCTCATTCATTTGGGTGTTGCAAACATTATGACAAAATGAGTGTATAGATGCACTATAGAAAGTAGTCAAATAGAAGGTTTGAATTCAAGTCTTTAAAATGGGTGTACCATTTCAAATATATACAATATATTATAGGTGAATTGGCAATAGATTCCAAGAAGTTTCTATGTATCTGTAAACGCCGGTAGGAAGACCATTGGTTACGCTTTCTTGTGCGCTACGTGTCTTGTGAATTCTATAAGAACAGTTCTTATCCCATCAGATCTTATAAAAACATACTACTAGTAGCTGCGCTCATTTGTGTCGTGTGTCTTGATAAGCCATTTACAAGTATACGTATGCTGAATGTCTCAAAAAAAATCAATTTCCACCGGTTTGGAAAAATGCCAAATTATGCCATTTTATTGCAATTAAGGATCCACTCAGTAAATATTGATGAATAGACAAACTTTGCGTTATACTGAAACTATTTGAAAAATTGGTATTTAAAAAACTAATTTGTGCAATTAGCGTAATTTTTTCTAACATTCACCATAGGTATATTAAGGATCGTTCTATGTCCACTAACTTTCTTCAACTAACCTCTCATAAAAAATATGGTTTCATTGATACTAACCTTACTTATATAACATTATTTATATGAAGTTTTTAGCCAAATTGACTATTCTTTTCTGCCTCATAAACTATTTCTAAATGGTTTTCCTGAAAATTTAATCGGCTAATTTTCGTTCATATTTAAAGCATTGAAAGCGATGGAATTAAGGTTTTCTCATGGGTCACTTAGAGAAATTTCTTTTTACCAACTTATTTACAAATGGCTTACTTAAGTGTAGCTAATGTTTGCAAAAATATTCCGCTCAGGTAATATAACTGACGACATTCAACTTTTCCAACCGGACAAAATTGCTTCGAATTGTTGGCATATTACTAATGAAATATCGCTTGATCTAAAACTATAATGTAAACTAAAGTATATGGTAAACTTAAACTTATTATTGATAATTGTATGGGAGGTTCAGTTCTAAGATTTTACATTTATATAAGAGGCTGCGTAAATAAGGCGAAATTTCCTTATGAAACTTTGAACTTTGAAGGAATTAAATGATTCGTATATCAGCAAGGGCCTAATTGTCTTGTTAGGTGCGTTAGAATACTCAACCACTGCCTCATTGCCACGTTAAATATTGTACAATGATATATTATTAACGGTGTTATAACTTTTGCTATTTTCTTAGATAGCAGCACCTGTGTATTGATATGCCCAAATTCCATTGGCAAAATCAAAATAATTTATCGTGGCTGGAGCAATCTGGGTGCATCCATTCCTTGTTGTAGCTAATTGTTGCTTTTAAAAGGTTATAAGCAAATAAGTACATTCAATTACAACTTATTGTGTCAGACTTATTCTTTTTCTATTTTAGTTAAGTATATTTAGCTAGAAGAAATGTATCTAAGCTTTAAATGAATAAATAAATATGTTAATGAATACATATGTTCTCACATTTTTCCTCAACGGTTGCGTGTAAATCTAATCGTCAAAATATCTCTTTTACGCAACCGATAGAGAGAGAAAGAGAGAGAAAGAAAGAGAGAGAGAGAGAGAGAGAGAGATGCAGATTTGATGCTTGCCTGAGCCGCTATCACGTTGCAATAACAATTTTTGAAGTGTGATGTTGAGCCGGTTAGGAGTCGCTTGCTTTCATCTTGACACACTTGTGATCACGAATTCATGATACATTAAAAATACGGTTATTAAATGAATTCTCTTTAGCCGTTTAATTTTAGTATTTTGATGTGGACTATTTTTTATGATTTTTATGACTTGGCTTCATTTTGGAGAATTAATCTTTTTTTTTTATATATCTATCTATTTATTGCAAAAAGATGTTTCTTATAACTAATTCTTTCTAAAATTTACTATATGCATTTTTCCTATTTATTAGTCTATTCAATACGTAGCAACTATTTATTTAATTTAATATACAAATCTATTCATTACATGATATTATCGTGCACAGAAGCTCATAGTGCTTAGACTTACGGATATTTATTGCACAAATTTCAGTAAAAGTGTTCGTTTCAAATCTTTTACTTCCTTTTTCGTAGCTTTCGTTTATACTTTGGGTTCTGCAATGCGACATGATAATTTTCTTGCGCAATTGTTAGTAGCGATATTTCTTGTCTTATGTGAATGTATAATGTTTTCTGGACTTCCTAAAGAATCTGTGATAGATTTTGTGGTTTTTGGTAGAATGCGAAACGCTAACAGATAGCTCTTTTGCGAGTGTTATATGAGATACAATATGTCCTGTTTGCTCGAAAATTTCCTTTTTGTTCTCAAAAGTAAACGGTCCCGGTTTGGTAAGAATCACATATCATGCGTATAATTTATTATATAATACATGTTTTTTAGTGTGTGCGTGTACGTACAAATTAATTATTATTTTAAAAGAAGTCAGTAAATAATGATTTAGAATACCCTAAAAAGTTCAGTTATATCAAACCATAAATGCGAGTGGTTGGTTACATTGATGACAGATTCACGGTTAAACATTCAAAATTTAACTAATGAAAAGAGCCACAGCGCTCTTAAGTAATTAAAAGACACCATAGAATTATAATAACTATGTAATATCATATTATAATTTGTAGAATAAATTATATCATAATTAATTTACAGTCACATATGATCGTATATACACTATTACACCGGGAGAGATGTATAAACTTACTAAAAAAGTAAATATGCTTAAATGCTAAATAACTTTTTTAAATTAATGGGTAACACAGATGGCAATATAAATCTTAGGTATGCATGTCTATTAGGAAAGCGCCACGTTTTCATATGTGTGTACATATATAGATGTTTTGGGTTTTTAATCAACTAATTATTATTTCTTTGCCATTTTGAGGTTAGCTTTTTTCTATCTATCGAACTGCTTGGAGGTTCCGCTAATGTCGTCGGCATTGTAAATGCAGTTTCAATAGGTGGTGGTTCGGTTTCGCCTACGGCCAGTTTTGGTGGCAAATCTTCCGGTATGTTAACGATACCATATGGAGTCAAATGATATATTAGATAATCCAAAACATACATTTGGTTGGGTGTAACGTAATGAAAAGAAACCGCATGATCAGAGCAACATTCGATTCCCTGAATGACAGACGAAAACGCGTTAATAATACAAAGAACTAGTATTTAAGTACTCCGCGCTTACATCTTTTGTTTTATAGTAAATATATTTCCAATACCAAAAATCCTTGTTAGTATGATCAGGTATAAGATGATGTTCGGGCACAAAAGGAAAAAAACGTCCACGTGCGTTAGCATCTCGAGTATCACCGGCCATAACTCCGAGGGCTTCTAAACACTTACCGATTTCCACATCTTCTGCACCACCATTCTTATTACTACATATTTTGGGGTTAGCTAAACCCTTTTCAATAAATCGCTTAAGCGCTTCCTTACTTAGCACGTAGCCAGCACCACCGGACATGTAGCCCTTTTAACGATATCGCAAAAGTAATCTCACAAAACAATAATTGCTTTCTGTTTTCTTCTTACCTGTTTAACAAACGGTTTAAACTTACACCCAAAATAAATTGGTGTTTCAGGTGAGTACGGATACAAAAGATAGCGTAAATTTTCCAATATTGTATACCTGCATTATAAATAATATAACAAGCTATCGCACAAGTCTATTCACAACTAGATTAACGCATGTACACTTAACTTACGTATCGTCATCAGCTTTTAGGAACCAGTCGGCATCGTCTATGTGATGATCGTAAATATATTTAAAGGCAGCTTTTACTTTAGCCCATAGATTGTTACGACCTTCAGACACCGGCAGTGCTATACTATTTAAATCTGCGTCTGCTGTCGTACTCATAAATAATAATTTGTTACACCTTTTGCCCCAGGTACGTTTTACGTGACGTGCTTTCGTACGATGATTTTTGGGATTTGTCATGACCCAACATAATACCCGAACTTCTCCATATAATTTCTGAGCCAAACTGCTATTTTCATAAATATGTTGATGTGAACCGACATTCTGCTCAGGACCAGAAGCATCAATTAAGTCGTTACTGGCGTGTGGATCGTTAATGTCACCATGCCTATGGCCTGTATACAATAACCAGTCAGGTTTTTCTGGTGTGGAAAGAACAAACAATTCAGCTAATGAAAATCCTACCACCAATCCAATAATCATTGACACCAGATTTCGCCGATTTGGACGTGATCCTATCATACCGTAGCGATAGTATTAAAGTCGCATTTTTGTTTAAAACGAAACGTTAAAAGAATTACCTTCCTGTACAATTGCTCGTCCCAACAAACCGCCTGATGTCATTTGTGGGCTTTGCGATGTTTAGTCTTAAATTTAAGTCTTTAAAGTATTGTTGGCTTTCCAATATGTAGTTTCTTCTACTCGAAGAATTTATCACATTTATTTTTAATTGCAATAATTTTTGGTTTTCAATCCTGATAAGTTACGTATTGCGTTTGGTTATTTAATTATCTAGAAAGCAATACAAATGTTTTTAATTTTTCATCTTCTGATGTTCTTCTTCATTCTTCATTACGTTGGACTTACAATTAGGACAGTTATTACTGCAGCATACATTAACGCAAAACTAACATACTCGCATCCGCGGTGGTACGACTTCAACTGTATATTCGACTTTTACACACTCGTATCTTACTAAACTATCAGAAACATTAGTCGTTTTTTTTATCCACCACTGTAAGATGGATGTATACTTAATTTGTTTTTTTTTCATACTCGAAAGGAAACCTCAGAAACACTCTAAAGTATATATATTCTTAAACAGCGTGAAATTCTGAATTGATTTTGCTATGTTTGTCCGTGTTTGTATTGTTCTTGTTGGCACTTTCCTGGTCGCCAAAATGAAGATATCGACTTCAAATATGATTCAAACATTGGAAGTTTTTGAACGCGGGTTGGTATTGCAAATGGCCCAGATTGCTCAGAGCAGAAGTCCGCAGCGGAGCATAAAATCAGCGCAGCTTCGTTTTTTTTTTTAAATTTGTTATGGGTTTTTGCTCGTTACTCAGAAATTATAAAAGTTAGAAGGCTGAAATTTCCCATTTTTACTTTAGGAAACACTCTAGTCTTTACATGCAAAGACTGCAAAAAATTGGCCATGCCCGCATAAAGTTGCATATAGTTAAATGTTATTTTTTCGCTTTTTTGAGGTTTTATGCTTATTTAACAAAACGCAAACAAAACAGAATGTATAAAACAATTAAGTACATTCCTCAAACTAATATATATTATCTGCCTAAAAATGTTAATTCTAAAATGAATATGGTAGATACCGCGATTAATTTTGTAGCCACCATCGATATGGGTAACAAATAAAAGAACTTGGAGAGTAGAATGCGAAAAGCATAATGGTGGGTATGCAAGATTCGGCACCTGCCGAATATAACTCTCTTAGTTGTTTCATTTACATTAATCCATCCGCTCTCTACATAATAAGTTACACTCATTTCCCAATCTCTTCATTTCTACGAATGCAATTTTGGGGTTTTTCATTTCAGCATATAATCAACGCTTGTTAATGAATAACATTCACGATAGTGTACCAGAATCTGAATTTCACCTTTTTTCCGCCTTTTTGTTTTAAATGGGAAAACTTTGACTTCGAGATACTTTTTTCGAACCCAACTGTAATTTTTGTATCCTACACCGCTTGTCCTACAAGGAAAATTAAGCTTGCTGTCCGTTTATATGCTTCTATGTCTTTTTTCTCGTATTTAACCTACAGCTGCCAATTTTTAAGATATTTTGATGAAATTTTCGTACATTGGAATGTTTCGTCTCAAAGACGAACACTATTGAAAGTGGTTTGGATTGGACCACTCTTTCGAATACTTCCCATAAAACACCTTACTTCGACAAGTCGCTGCCTGAATAATTGTGGAAGCAAAGTGGTGCAGGATATCTAATAGCAGGCCGTAGCGTACCATAGTACTCTTGCTTGTTTAAATTTGAAATTTTTTTTGAAATTTTTTGAAATATATATATCTTTAAAATTATAATAAAAGATTCCAACAAAAATATATGTGCCAAACATGGGAGTGAAGTGATAATCGTGAAACGTGGACAATTGTTTTAACAAAAACATTATTTTACATAAATGTAATAAATATTAATAATGGCACTTTAAAAAAAAGAGTAGTCAAACAAAAACCGGCAAGACAAAAATATCGCCAAATAAAGTATTTGGGGCAACAGGCATGTTAGGCTAGTAAGCATTATCAGTAACGTGGACAACAAAAGAAAAACTACACAGAATGTTAAAAATAAAACAAATTAAAGTTATATCCTCTTTAAAAAAGAATTTATAAAAAGAAGATTTCATTTTCATGAGCTAAAAAGGGCAAAGAAAATTTTTTCCCAGATTCATATTGATATGATACTTCTAATACGAGCTGTAAAGTATATGATGTTTGGGAAACTTGATATTCTCTAAACGTTTTAAGGTTTTATGAATAGTTATAAAAAAGCGACTTAGAGAAAGTGTTTATTTTTCATTACCCACAATGCCTGAAATATCGATTGACAATTTCTATGTGGCACAAAAGCAAACTAAACAGCAGCTTATTAGAGGAATACACATAAAGGTGCGTAGGGATGAAACGAGAAAAGATTAACTCTTAATAAATTTGAAGCCAACCATATTGACTGAATAGCAACTTCCTGTTACCGCCATAGGGATTATAATACCAAGTATTTGAAGTCCTTGCATAAAAAGGAAAGAGGTTTAATCATCCTTAGATACCAACGATGTACTATCTATCGCCGCCAACAATTTTCATTAATGATGTGCTGCAGCTGATTGTCATCTTGAGCTTTGGAACGTCCAATGTAAATTCAAACTGTAGGACATTACTCAATAGTAATTAGATAAATAAATACATCGTGGGTATAAATATTTACATATATGTATATGCAAATGTACGTTCGGTATGTGCAAATATGTAGAAAGAGCACAGACAACGCGTAGTAGGTGTAAAGAGTAATTTACAAGACGACGATATATATTAAAGCCAATGAGTAAGCCTTGAATATTATTATTTTTTGTTATTTTTGAAATGTCTAAACAGACTTTTCCGTATTTTTAATAACCTAACATTCTAACACCTAACATGCATTAAATTGCAAATCGTGTGCATATACATATATATTTCGGCTACGCTGATGAATGCGTTGGATGCCCATATAGTACATGTACAAAATTTAAGTTACCAGCCTAGGTTCTTACAACTTTGTGAGTGACAACGGCGCAAAAGAACGAGAGCTATGAGAGAATCCACTTAGATGTTCACGGTTAACACACAAGTAAAAATATTTGTAGCCAGGCAACGCCGCCTATTAAATAATCTACACCACTGCACCTAAAGCAGTTCTTTTTTTCTTGGTAAAATTTTATATTATATATTGTTTCAAGATACAACAATACTCTTCATGGGATTAAGAATCCAGGTTTGTTAGTTACTTTGTATGTCAAATTACTCTTATGGGCAATTACGCATCATAAAAGTTTACTTTTCGTGGGAACGGTTATATGGGAATTGGCGCATACGATCTTAATTTTGCATATCAATTAAGTGTTTCAAAGTATTAATATTCGGCGATCTTTGCCGAGAAATTTTGAAAATGCAACGTTTTTTATGTAACAGCTTGTTTAAAGTAAGACGTTATTCGGAGAGTGGTCATAAAAAGCTTCAGACCTTGTCTCTTGTTAATAACGGTCGTCCTTGGTCTTTACAAAATTTCATTAAAATATCCCAAAAGGCAGACGAGCTTAAATGGACTCAAACAATGTTTCAAATCGATCGATATAATAAGAAGTGGATCTATCTTAATCCCTTCTGATTGTTACATATATCCGAACAAACTTAATTAATCCTGTACCCCAAGCAACATATAATTACAGTTGAAGAGAGAAAAATTTATATTATATATACAGCTATTACCAACCAATTAAGTAAATATCCTGAAATTATCAACTGATTTGTAACTAACGTAGAAAGATTTGAAACAACCGAGACTTGCTTATAAAAGTTTTGAGAGGAGGCTACAACTGTTGAATTTTCAATGAAGACACATGCCTTAATATTATTTTCTTGCCGAATAAGGGTTTACAGGAAAAAAAATTTAAGTGAAACTCAGGAAACAGAACAAAATGTATGTAAGTAGCTATAGAGCTGTCCGATCACGCGATTAGCTTATGGACTCAAAATATTCAATGCTACACAAATATATTTCGTCGTTACTGACAAAAGGTTGATTTTAAAATTGAAATCGATTTAACTTTACAGGGAGAAAATAAAAAATTATTTAATGCGAATTTAGTTTTGCTTTCTTTTAAGAAAAAGATTTACTACATCGCCGAAAGATTTACTACATCCAACGGGGAAGGAAACAAAAATGATACGAAAATTATTCTAAGCCCAAGAAAATTTTTTTCATTTTGTTAGATGTTGATGTTGCTGGATTTGCGTGGAATATAATTTTAATGGAAATAAGAGCCAAACATGTCAATTTTTGTCACTCACGATTTTTGCAAACTGTATTTTTATATTGCTTAAGAAGAAGGCCACCAGTAAGTTTTCTAGAAAAAGAATGTTTTTTATTGGCTCGAGACATGCTTTGACCCTTACAGAATATTTCGCAAAAATTCATCACCAAAAACAAGTTTTTTTCTTGCAATTACGAGCTTTGCCATACGAGATTCGGCAAGAGTGCAAGTCAAAAACAAACCTGACTGTAAACTTACAATCCGAAGTTTTGCTTGTTCATTTCTAATTTCTCTATTTCCCAACAGAAGTCTTTCAAAAGTATTTTTGTGTATTTTTAAAGTCGTTCCAAATAAAAATACTTCAGCGTAGCTTTATTGAGGGCGAAAAGAATCTATGCTTATGTTTGACAGCTGCAATCACAATGGCGCGTTCTAGCAAAATATCTTTGAAGAAAGGGTAGGCGTTATAACACTTGAACACTATATGGGATTTTTGTAATTCTTGGACTGCAAACTAATTGGGAAAACTAATAAAATAGTTACTACAATAAGAAAGCTTCTATAACGTATTCGAAAACTTTTCCTCGAAATACGATTTCCTACATTTTCGCACGGAAAAAGTAGGGTATTTTCGACAAGTTCGCTTAAATATTTTTTATTAGTAAAAGAACGCCTTATTTTGGGTCAAAAGTTAAACTTTTTTATTTCAACACAAAATTCAATATGTTTAAATGATCTTCTTCTTAGATTTAGATCAGTTAGATTTTTGAATATTTTTCAGAGATTTTTTTTTTTTGGTTTTTAAAAGTTAGTACTGGGAATATCGATTTCCACCAAAGAGGATTATATTGATCTCCCTTTTTTGTAAAATCAAAATTCCTTGATCAATGAAGAGTTTCTAGATGAAATGCAAAACAAACAAACAAAACACTGACCATATTTTCATAATGTTGTTCATAACTTTAAATATATTTGCGAAAACTTGCCCACATATTCTCTAGAAACGCCTCTAAGTTCAGTTCAAAAGCGATTCCAATTAACAAATTTAGCGATAAAATTTTAATTTCAATTTACTTCCAATTTATTGTCAATTTACTTTATTGCACAAACCATGTTCTGTCATGTCATTTTTGGATCGAACACGCGGGTGAACTTGAAAAACATGCATAGGGTCGAAAGTTATAAACGAAGATATGAAAAAGTATTGTTTTTTTCGAGATTGCTTTATTTTCTCATTTATAGTGGGCGTTTGTGTAGGCATGTCGCAACATTTTTTTACTTGGTCTCTTAATTGATCAAGGAATGTTTATCTTAAATTTCAGTCTCTTACCTTTAGTTTGTACGGCTGTGTCAAATCGACAAATATAGTGGATCGAAATGATTCCTTCTGGTAGAAATAAGCATATATTGGTATTCACCAGAAAACGGGGGAAAAAATGGAATATAAATATTTGAGTGTCTTTTTGTACAAGTAAAAATCACCAAAAAATTTTGAAACATTACGAGCGGTACAGCCATTTTTCTGAAAATCGAAAATTAAAAATGATCAAAATGACGCACTCGGTGGTTCTAGTGTTAAATAAATTAACAACCTCCTCGTCCCAAAAAAAATTGTTCAAAAACCTTTTTTTTTAAACTACTGAAACTCTTAGGAGTATTTCCTTCAAATGCAAACGACAGTCGTATGTTTTTAAGTTTTTGATAAAAAGGATAAATTTGTAGAGCTTACTGCAAATCTAAACTTTTGTCTTAGAAATGTTACTTACATAGTTACAGTTAGTGATCATTAGATTCGTTGTAATTTGTTAAACGCAAAATAGTTCCGACGCTTGTTAAGTTTCATTGATTTTAATTATATAGATCGTTGGAATAAAGAAAAATAAGAAGAACAGTGTCGTGTATATTTGTGATAAGTGAGTGAATAAATATGACTGAGCATATAATTAAGTACAGCAAGAAGTATACAAACCAAAAGCCTCAGTTTTAAATGAAATTATCAGCAAAATTAATTGAACTTATTTGACTTGTAGAAACGATTGTGTTAAAATTGTGCAATCAAAAACAATTTAACGTACATGCATATGTGCATATGCACGTTAATGTATATGCAAACGTTTGCCTACAAATGCATAATATACACATTAATTTGTAAGGGGCTGCATATATGTATAATATATATATACATATATATTGCGTGCTGATAAACTTATTTTATGTAGATATATTCGCAGCACTCAAAATGTTCTAAAAAACTTTAGTATTTCAAAAAATCAGTTACATTAATTTCAAGTTAATTTAATTTATTTTTATCTTTTTTCCTTCTCATTGCGGGAAGGACTTGCCAACTGTGTTTAATGGGGTCAGTGTTTGCAACTGCACATCTTGGACTGGCTAGCTT